CTCCACAGCTAGGTGGTGGTAGATCCTTCTGCTCAAGGTCCATAATTCTTCAAGGGACCTCTGGACACTCAGAGGAGTTATTAGGTGGCAAGAACAGATTTCTTCAACTTGCCTTTGCTTAGCAAGCCAAGATTAGCAAATATAAATAAAAATCTGGTTCCAAATGTCTTCATGGCCACCTCAACTGATAACTACTTTTGAAGGCCTGGCCTTGCTCCCATCTGGAGCCCAACTCAGTGAAATGATTAAACTGAGGGGGAAAATAACAGAGCCTTTTTAGGAGGAAATATCTTTCAAGAAATACAGATTTTCTTACATAAAACTATGCTTTTTCTGAGGTCGACCAAGACCTACAGTGGAGAAAAGGGAATTGGAGAAGAGGAAGGAAAGAAGAACAGAGGCAAGGGATAGAGGACACAGGCTACATTTTTGTACAAAAGAAAGACTACGCAACCTTGTTAAGCCTGTTGTTTGTCTATATATAGGTCTGTGTGTGGGAGGTTACAGTTAGTCATTCTCAGATTGGGCATGACCATCACATGCGGTTTTTTCAGTTGTGTGTCTTTCTTCTTATCCTCCTTGCTTAGTTAAAGAACGTATCATAGTTATTTCCTTGAAAGAAAGAGTTAAAAATTCTTTGTTTTTTCCATCCACTTGACCTGCGCCCAACAAACAGAACTGGGTTGGCTGCCTGTAATATAAAAATAAATAGTAAGATATATTGGGCATCAATTAGATCCAGTTAACAGTCTGGGCAGCTTAGTTCTCTGTGTCAAGGGAAGAAAGCTAAACTTTAAATGTTACGTTTCCCCAGATGAGTAGATAATAAATGATCTAGTAATTCCTCAGTAGAAGCTTCCCTTCGTTTTCCTAAGGGAAAACTCTTGACTACCGAAATTACTTAAGAACATACTTTCTTAACTGGTCATGTCCAGACACATAGACAAGTTCCTACTTCCATTAACACAAAAATCCTAAACAATCCAGGGAGTGGTTTTTTCTGAGATTTGTCTAGATCAGTGTTTCCCAACCTTGGCAACTTGAAGATGTCCGGACTTCAACTCCCAGAATCCCCATTCGCTGGCTGGGGAATTCTGGGAGTTGACGTCCGGACATCTTCAAGTTGCCAAGGTTGAGAAACACTGGTCTAGATCAGTATTTCTCCACAGCTTGGCAGCTTGAAGATGAATGGACGTCAACTCCCAGAATTCNATTGCCCTGCTTACAGAAACTGCCTCTCCTGTTAACCCTCATTACATTGTCACAGCTAAGGCGAAGCGCCCATCGACCTGAGTGATGTTGAGATGGTCACGCCCACACGGTCACATGACCACCAAGCCACGCGTGGCCTACCCAGCCGGTCATTAGGGCAGAGAACCGGTTGTTAAATTATTTGAATCCCACCACTGGGTGAAGGGTGCGTTGTATGAATCCAGCTATTGAATCTCAGCAGGAATCCCACCCACCCTTGTTGTTCTGAAGTAGGAACAAATCAAATCCCCAAAGTTTAAACACATCTGGTGCTGTTATTATTCATTCAGTTTATTTTGTTCCTGTTTGTAAATAGCTTTAATTGTGTCTCTTGCCAAAGTAATAAATTTCAAGGAAAACAGGACTCGGGAAGATATGAACAAATAAAGAGATTGGAACTTGGCTAGACAAAGCGCCTGGCTTGGGAGATTTGGAGGGGTGTGTGTGTTTGTGTGTGTGTGTGTGTGTGTGTGTGTGTGTGTGTGTGTTGCTTCTTATTGCTCATCGCTCTTGTTATTTGCCACTTTCATGCTATGTGACAAAATACGGAGAACAAGAAAACAAGGAAGGAAGGTGGGGAAACCTGAGATTGAAATATGTGAGTTTTGAAAGAAGAGATCATGGTCCATTAGTGTTCTAGAACAGCGGTCACCAACTGGTGGTCCGTGAGAAAATTTTGGTGGTCTGCAGAAAAATTACTTGCATTTTTTATATTGCACTAAATCAGGGGTCCTCAAAATATAACCCCTAGGATGAATACATGCAATGTATGTTTGTGTTGCTGCAGAGAGTTTCCCTCTTCGGGGTCTTTTTGTGTGAGTCCTGAGTGGGGGAGAAATCCTGACTTAGGGTCTGCTTCAGCCTCCTGGTGGGGGGCTTTGGGCAAAGGCTGGAGAGAAGCACCGCTGGTGGCAAAGAGCCGGAGGGCCTTGTTCCAGTGGGACTGCATCATGGCCTGGAATTAGCTGACCATCTCAGCCTGCTGAGCCTCCAGGCCCTGGTACTTGGCCTTGCACTCCCACAGGTCTTCCTTCCTTCATGGGAAATCCTATGTTCATGGTCCTCATTGAGGTGCTTCTGCTGAGCCTCCTTCTTGGTCAGCTCTAATTTGAACTGTATTGCCAACTCTTTCTCGTGGTGGCTGCTTAGCTCCAACAACTGCTTCCTGTTGGGGCCCTAAGGACCCCAGGTGGGGAGGCGAGGAGTGGCAGGCAGGGGAGGGGCAAGTAGAGGTTGGTGAGGTGCCCCTCAATGTGAGTGACATCGAGTTGACCACACCCACCCAGTCACATGACCACCTAGCCATGCCCACCCAGCCAGTCATTAGGCAGATCATATTAGTGGTCTGCGGGATTAAAAATTATGAATTTGGTCCCTGAGGTCTGAAAGTTTGGTGACCCTTCTTCTAGAAGGAACCCTAGTGGAGATCAAAGGAAATGTGGTGCTACCTTCTAAAACTATCAATCTTTGATGAGCTAGGACAATGTTCCTCAACCTCAGCCATTTGAAGAGGTGTGGACTTCAGTTCTCAGAATTCCTCAGCTGTCATGGATTGCTGGGGAATTCTGGGAGTTGAAGTCTACACCTCAAGGTTGAGGAACACTGAGCTAGAAGAAAAAGACTTGGTAGCCTAATGAAGAAATTTCTGGCTTTGCTAATTGCAGCATCACCAAGTCTAACTGCTTGGTCTCCAAGTTACTCCAGATGTAAGCTCACCTAGTTCCTCCACAGCTAGGTGGTGGTAGATCCTTCTGCTCAAGGTCCATAATTCTTCAAGGGACCTCTGGACACTCAGATTCTACTACATACAGAGGAGTTATTAGGTGGCAAGAACAGATTTCTTCAACTTGCCTTTGCTTAGCAAGCCAAGATTAGCAAATATAAATAAAAATCTGGTTCCAAATGTCTTCATGGCCACCTCAACTGATAACTACTNTTTGTCTGAAACGGTATAGGGTTTCCTGCCTAGGCAGGGGGTTGGACTAGAAGACCTCCAAAGTCCCTTCCAACTCTGCTATTGTATTGTATTATAAAATTGGGAAAGTATATTTGTCATCAGCACAGCAAAAGAAAAGGGGTAGCTGCTCTATATATTAAAAAAACAATAAACTCCAAATAAATATATGCAGATGAAGAAGGGAAGGGTTTTAATGGTGGAAAAGGGGATGAATCAAAAACAGACACTTTTGATAGCAATATATGCGCGCCGAATAATAAGCAAGAAGAATGTTTGCCAAAAGTTACATAAGAAGATATTAGAAATGAAACATCAAAATATTTGTGTTGTAGGAGACTTTAATGCAATAGAGAGGCAAAACTAGATTATAGGAGTAGCAAGACAGGAAAAAAAGATTTTTTTAAAAGATACTTCCTAAAACATTGATTCTCCTTTTCCAGGTTTTGTGGACCAGAGAAGGACCACTTGGTTTCTTAATCTTCCCACGCCGTAAGGTCCTGTTGCATCATGGACGCTAATTTCACCGCTCCGTGCATTTCCAATGCATCCTTGCCGTCGTCCTCGGATACCAAGTTGGATGTCAGCAGGCTCATGGACATGCTTCAGATCTTCTTCTACGCTGTTCTTTTCCTGCTTGGTTCCCTGGGCAATGGAGCTGTGATCTGGATCACAGCCCGTCAGACTGCACGGACCATCAGCTGCGTCTGGTTCTTCAACCTCGCTCTGGCCGACTTTCTCTTCTCGGTCACCCGGATTGTGCCCCTCTTGAAGAACGCTTTTGACAATGGGTGGCCCTTTGGAAGCTTCCTATGCAAAGCCAACAGCTTCGTCAAGTATCTCAACATGTTCGGCAGCGTCTTCCTCTTAGCTGCCATCAGCATAGACCGGGCAACTTGCGTAGCCTACCCAATATGGACCAAAAGGCACCGGGACAGCCGCTTGGCCTGGGTCGCTGCCATCGGAGCTTGGATCTTGGCCATTGCCACCAGTAGTCCTTTCTACCACTACCGTGGCATAAAAATCGACAAGTCTAACAAGACCAAGTGCTCCTTTTCCCTGGAGGGAAATGAATCCGCCAAACTGGTCATCTATATGTTGAGACTGATTTGTGGGTTCTTGGCCCCTTTCGCCATCATTGTAGTCTGCTACGGCATCATCGTTGTGGTGCTGAGGAAGCGACGGGCTTCCCTCCGTTCCAAGAAACCCTTCAGGGTCATCCTGGTTCTTGTGGTCACGTTCTTCCTCTGTTGGGCACCATACCACATCTTCCTCCTCCTCAAATTGGTGGAGGTGAAAGGCCTAGGGCTTTCTATTGGCCTCCCGCTCTCTTCCTTCCTGGCTTACCTCAATAGCTGTGTCAACCCTATCCTTTACTTCTTCATGGGCGTGGACTTCCATCGAAAGTTGAGTCTTTACAGCATAAGGTCTGCCTTCAGGAAAACCTTGTTTGAAGACAGTGGCTCCTCATTCAGGAGCAAACACAGGAAGGAGATGGTTTCTTCCACTGAACAGCTTCCTCGGTCTTCAGTAGTCCCTCAGATGCACTGTAGAACCTTACCGCTTCCAAGTTCGGTTTAGGAAACTCGCGTGGGTTAGGAACTCATAGGTGAAGAACGTAGAACATAGGGCTGGAAGGGACCTTGGAAGTCTTCTAGTCCAACCTCCTGCTCAAGGCAGGAGATCTTCTACCATACCAGTCAAATGGTTGTCCAGTCTATTTTTGAAAGCCTCCAGTGACGGAGGACCCACACAGGGGTGGGCTTCAATAATTTCAGCAGCAAGTTCTCTGTCCGGTTCCTCGGTGGGCGTGGCCAGGATGGGCATGGCCTAGTTGGCCTCCTGCACCATGGGGGGGTGGTGGTGTCATTTTAGCCTTCCCTAGGCTCTGGAGGCTTTCCTCGAGCCTCCAAGAGAGTGAAAATGGCCTCCCCAGACTCCGGAGTCTCCCTGGAGACAGAAATGGGCCTCTTTCTGGCCTTCCTGAACTTCAGTAGGCCCATTTTTCACCCTCCCTGAGACTCTGCACGCCCTGCACTTTCCTGCATCCAAAACGGGCCAAGTGGGGACTCCTGGGAGGGAAGGGGTGGGCGGGGCCAGCCAGAAGTGAGATTTGGGTTCTCCTGAACCCCTGCAAATACCCAACAGCCCACCCCTGGACCCATAACTTCTGGAGGCAAGTCGTTCCACTGGTTAATTGTTCTTGCTATTAGAAAATTTCTCCTTACCTCTAGGTTGTACCTCTCTTTCTCAAGCTTCTCCCCGCTCTCCCTCCCTCCTGTTGCTTCTTGTCCTGCCCTGTGGTGCTTTGGAGAATAAGAGGCTTTGAGGTCCAAAACATGAGGAAGACAGCAGTCTGCTAGAGAGTGATACAGCCATTCCTAGAGAAATAGAAAGATTTCTTTTTCTGCTTTCATTCCATCCACCCGTCTTTACTGTTGATATTTTCGGGATGTTATAAAACTGCAAATACTTCTGTGTGAAAAGGGGGCTTTTACTTCCATCACGAACTGCAAACGACGGGTTGTTTTGCTTTATATTCCTCATGTATGTCATTTTTCTTTGACGTTGATGTGTACGGCACGTATAAACTTTTAGCCATATTTGTACCTCTGTGTCTTTGGAAAGGTTATTCAACCGACTCTGCTATTCGCAGCCCCGTGCTTCTAATTCTAACCCAAATATAAGCCATCATGCAGCATTCTACAATCCATGTTAAGGAAGCCTAAACATTACATGCTGGTTTAATAAATAAATNGCTGGCTGATGGAATTCGGAGGAGGCCTAATCTATGCGATCTGACTCAGGCCCTTGACAATCGAAGATGAGTCAAGATGCAGAGAGACAGGTCTAAATTCATGTTTGTGGTTGAGGGTGAACTAGAACCAGGAATATCTTGGACCTAAAAGCACCTCCCTTCAACCCAAACAGCCAGACAAATGGAGGAACTCCTGTACGTGCGAACCCCACCAATAAGGTGCTTTAGGAGAGATCAGGAGAACTTGTTCACCCAACCCTTGGATCTCCAGCAACAAGATACAACTCGTTTATAGATGGCTGAAGAGGAGCATCAGTCATTCCCAATTCCAAGCCACACCAGCAAGATTGCAAGGACTTCCCAGGTGGCTCTGTTTTCAGAGGAGGTAACAGAGTCCAAAAACTCAGCAAGTCTTTAAATCTCTAGGCAGGTAACCGCATCTCCAACCGTCCCTGAAGCTATCCAAGATAGGGCAACGGGTTCTATACACCCTGCGTGGCTTGCCAGAGGTTGTGTGTGACACACTTGTTGTGGAAAGTGTAGCACGGAACATGTTAAAGGGCTGTCTTGACTCACGGGCCTTCGGGAAATCACGTTGTTCTTCAGAAATAAAACCAGCGTGAACCCAACAAAGATCCTTGAACAGAGACCTCACTTTTTGTGGTGGCTGCAGAGTAACTTTTCACACCCTAACCACCCTGCTCGATCCGCTGACATGACGTATGTCGAGGGAATTCAATTTAAGCCACCACAGGAGCAGCCCTCCCTTGTTATAAAAGGCACTCCTCTCGAAGACTTCCATCCGACAACATTTCACAACTCTTAGCCCCCTGCTTCTAGGGGAATTTTTTAAAGACCTCCTTGGCTCTGCGGAACTGACAGTTGCGATGATGCCCGTCATATTTCACAACCTGGCGTAGCCGCGATCTGTTCTGTTCAGGAGGCAAATCTTCAACAGCGGAGAGATTCTGCTTGATCGCATCCAGCAGGAAGTTCCTCTTTTCGGCAGGAGCTAATCTTGGCCTTGGACGAGGTCCAAAATCACAACCCGGCGGAGAAGCGAAGCGGCAGCCAAGAAATCCGCATTTTCTTGTAAAAGGAGAGAAATACAGAAGACGTAATTCCTGCAGCCTTAAAAAAAACAGGTAATTTCAAGGGTCTGATCCAGGGCACCACACCTTCTGGTGGGAACTGTGCGAATTCCAGAGCAACAACAATCTTGTCCTTGTTTACGTTGTTTCTGGAGTGTCAAAACTTTGGGTGTGTTTGGGTTTGTTGTGTCTTGAGAGATGGGTTCTGCTCGGCCACCTCTTGTCATGTTTCACTAGTTTTATAGCCACTCAAGAACGGAGTTTTCAGTCTTGTGGTTTTGTATTGCGGTTGGGATAATCAGGCAAGCGGTATCCCAGTCTGATTTGCTGACTTGATTTTAGCAGCTGGACTGGATTGCAAAAACAGCTTGATTAGAGCTAGGTGTGTACACTTTCTAATATCGGCACACTTGTGGGACACCTGGAGGTTGGTGTGCAATGTACACAAAAATATGGGGCATTTCTCTTCGCAAGGAGTTCAAGTAGCTTAACTGGAAGTGATTTTACCGAAGAAGTAGGAATGTTGAAATCAGTTCAAGTATTACTTAACTTTTCCTACCTGACACAAAGGTGCCTTTTTTTTTTTCAGGAGGCAAATGAACTTTCTTCTTTTTACTTTTGAAGATGTTTCGCTTCAGATCCAAGAAACCTCTTCAGGTCTGACAGGATAGTGGGGAAAGATTTATATTCCTCGTAGACAGCAGTTCATTTGCATCCTTTTAGAGGATCCTTGAAGCATTTGGAGGCTTATTTGTGTCCTCAGGGTCACCTGAGTAAATCTCCTGGTTCCTGTAGTCTGCAAATTTTTCCCCCTCTGGAAATCCATTCCTCCTCCCACACCATTCAAAGGATGTTCATCTCAAATTGTATAGCTAAAAGACTGTAGAGATTCTCAGTCATCCAGGTCATGGTTGTCCCAAAGGTGCTTTTTTTTTCAGGAGGCAACCGGACTTTCTTGTTTTTTTTCTTTGAAGACTTCTTGTTTTTCCTTTCGCTTCTCATCCAAGAAGCTTCTTCAGATCTGACCGGATGGTGAGGAATGGAAGGATTGATATTCCTTGCAGAACAACTGGTCATTTGCATCCTTTTGGAGGGTCCATGAAGCACTTGCGAGGTTTGTCTGTGTCCTCGGGGTTACCTGAGTAATTCTCCTGGTTCCTGTAGTCTTCCATGTTTTTTCTTCTGGAAATCCATTCCTCCTCCCACACCATTCAAAGAGGGGGGTTCATCCCAAATTGTATAGCTAAAAGTCAGTCAAAGACTTGAGCTGGATGACTGGGAAACTCTACAGACTTTTCCCTACCTGAGTTCATCTCCTACCCCTTTTTAAAAAAAGGGAAGATCTTCAATAATCAAAAGTACTCAAGAATAGGAGCAGAGCCTGGGCCTATTGAGACATTATGTCTAACATCTGACATTAGCCTAACATCCATCCATTCTGTTAGATCTGATATACAGGTCCTGTTTGTTAGGGAATTATATCTGGGGGGGATCTCAGCAGGTGGTCCTTTTCTGCCATGGTGCCTGGCTTACGAGGCATTCTCTTCCTTAAAGTGAGGCGAGCTTCATCCCTGTTAATATTCCAGATGGTCTTCAAGACTTGGCTAAATCTGAGGATCTCGGAGAACGGGTAAGATCTTGAGGTCGCTCCAGTATGAAGTCTACATTCTTCTCTCTTGGACTTTCTAGTTTTTAAATATTTTAAAATAATGAGTGTTTTGATATGTACATATTATTGTTGTATGGAGCCCAGAAACACTTTTTGTGAGATGGGAAGCCATATAAATATGATAGATAAATATTTAGAAGCCCTGGGTGCTACAGCGGGACATTCAATCTCATCCCTGCAAGAATTCCTGATGACCACCCAATCTTTGATTTGAAACATCTGATTTTGGAGAAGCTGCCGCTTTCCGAAACCATCTGCTTGCACCGTCAGCAGTTTCATTTTTGGAACCCCTGGGAAATGCAGAAGTACCCTATGTTTCTGTGGGGTAGATATAGAGGCACCCCGTCCTTCCTTCCTCCTTTTGACCATGCCTGGTAATTCCCCTGAGCTTGCCAAAAGTTCCTTTGCCACTAGTTCCCAGAATTGTTGGATTAGAGATGCTGAAATTCTACCATCTAGTGATGAATTTGGGGAGCAACAGATGAGAGGGAACTTGTAAGTCAAATAACATTGATTCTCAGTTGTGGCAATATGGCTATCATAACATTCTATTGCAGTGTTTCTCAACCTTGGCAACTTGAAGATGTCCGGACTTCAATTCCCAGAATTCCCCAGCCAGC